GTCAGTGGAAAGACTTTTTTACAATTAAATTATTCCTTCTTAAAATCGTATAATTTGTGCAGATTAAAAAAAAATTATCCCTGGGACTTTTTACCAATGTTTTTATATAATAGCCCCAAAATAAAAAAACACCTTTCCCACATATGAGGATTTAAACAATATTGCTAAATTGGTAAACTATTGACATAGATAATGAAACAATGGTGCTATTCAATTATTTGTGTAATTTGATTAAGTTTAAATCAATATAACAAAATAGACATAAATTTTAGGTAAAGTGTAATATAGTGACAGACACTAGAAAAAGTAAATGAATGATTAGAGATTAAAGTTCAATTTTTTAAATCAGGTTAGACTCTATGACAACCTTTTGAAAAGGAGAAATGAAGGTAAGAAAGAAGAGGAGGAATGGCTAGTTACATATGGTACCATTGAGCTAATGGGCCAAGATAAAACATTTCATTCTAGATATTTTATTGGGGGTCTGTTTGATCTATTATTTCTAAACCTACTTATCTGAGTCTTAAATTAACTCATATAATTGTCACAGTTCACATGTGACAGTGTATAGACACAAATTCAGAAAATTGTCAGAGTTGTTGCTAACTGTAAAATCCATTCCAACTCATGGCGGCCCCATGTGTGGTGCACAAAGTAGACATGCTCCATAGGTTTTCTAAGGCAATTCTTTTTTGGAAACAGAGAAGCAAGCCTGAATTCCAAGGTACCTCTGGGTGGGCTCGAGCAGCTAAGTATCACTAGCTCTACACGACAGGTCATCACCGAGGTCTATAAATAGCATTCTACTAATCAGTTGAGTAAGCATTTACATGATTCTAAAAAGCTAGAAAATATAAGATAGAAAATGTGAAATTTCCTTTGTTCTAAACTATTTATCTACTAGAATTATTCTTTTCCATTTTCAGTGTTAAAGCAGAGGAGTCCCCTTGTCACCCCAAATCTCAGAGGGGACCTCAAAATAAAATAAAAGGAGAGCAGCTACTTTTAAAGTCTTAGCTTCTCAAACCTTACCTCTACCCTACAAGGATTGTCTATTGGACACAAAGAAAAATACTAAAAAAAAAAAAGGAGGGGGGGAAGACCTAAGCTTGTCTACATATCAACCCATCACAGTGTGCTGCTTTAAAAATTCTCTCAAGGGCATCACTAAGGTGCTGGGTTCAGACTGCTGATGTTCCATGACAGTAGACATCAGTTTCCTAGTCTTTCCGGTGGGGATCATCAACTCAAGGTGACTATGAATCACACACACACACACACACACACACACACACA